TCGCTAAGTCGGAACACAATAATGTACGACCGGTAAGTTGCCCGCAAGCTTGCGGTGTGGCGGCGGGGGGTAAAGCGCGGGTACTCTCACCCCTTCCGACAAGAGGGTCTGGCCTCCGATTAGCACGGTTGGCTACGTACTGTGCAAAAGAAGTTCAACATACATTCATACGTACGTGGCCAGCATGGAAGGGAAGAGTTGGCCAAATACGCTCTCATGAGAGGGGGCTCTCTTGTGCTACCCTCTGGCTAGGTTAGCGGCGACCCTTCTGGCAGCAGCGGCGTTAGCAAGCAAACTGCGGAGCAGCGCCTTTATCTATGATTTCATTATTATTATTTCTGTCTAAAGCGAGAGAGAGAGAACCAACATCTATTACACAGGGGCTGCTGTATACAATTTGACCGAGCATTTCAAATCTGTTCAGCGGTAAGGGGGCGCCGCGTAGTGCAAATTAGCATATCCGGAGATAATTTGACACATCACAAAGCACGGTGGGGTGAGGGGGGGGGGATACCGTGGCTGACTGGCGGAGCGAGATTAGAATTCACGAACGGCACAAAAAAATGGAAAAAAATCATCACTCAAGGGGCCGTCACCGGCCGATGACCTATGTACTCAGCGGTCCAAACGTGCTGCTTGAGCACACGCAGCGTCCTGGATGGACGGGTGATGGATGGGTGGATGGGTGGATGGATGGGTGGGAGGATGGGTGGGTGGATGGGTGGATGGATAGATGGGTGGGATGGGTGGGAGGATGGATGGGTGGATGGATGGGTGGATAGATGGGTGGATGGGTGGATGGATGGGTGGATGGGTGGATGGGTGGATGGGTGGATGGGTGGATGGATGGGTGGGTGGATGGATGGGTGGGTGGATGGATGGGTGAATGGGTGGATGGGTGAATGGGTGGATGGGTGGGTGGATGGGTGGATGGGTGAATGGGTGGATGGATGGGTGGATTGATGAGTGGAATGGATGAAAGGATGGATTGATGGATAATTGGATGGATAAATTAAATGGATGTAAAAAACATTATGGATCTACAGATTAATGTATGAATGGATGAATGAAGGAATGAATGGATAGGTGGATGTATGGATGAATAGATTGATGTAAAGATCTATTGATGGATCGATGGATGAATGGATGGATAGAGTAAAGGATGGATTGATGGATTAATGAATGTAAGAATGAAGAAAGAAATGGATGGATGAATGGATACATGAATGAATTAATGAATGTATGAATCACACCGGGGCCAAAATCATTTTCGTTAAACTTCCGGCGCTGGGAGGAATAAAGCGCTACTGCTCTTCTCGATTAATCCGCTTAATAAATTGTCGCTCACAGCCTCCAGGAAAGAACAAAAATTATGATATTAAAAAACACAGGAACATTGCTTCGTAATGTAGCACGTCAATAAATTAAGCTGCTTCTGATTAATTTGCTCTCTGCTCATATTTTATACGGGAAGGCAGATTAAACAAAATAACACTGTGCTGGAAAGAAGTGCGTAGGTGTGTGTGTGTGTGCGTCTCTACGCGCGTGTGTGTGTGGAGGCAGTCGCCCTCCAACAACAACGGAGGGCGGAGGAGCGACGCTCACAACAACGAGCAGAGTGCCGGGTGGCTAAAGCACAGCAAGTTGGCACAGTAGGGGGCACAGGTGGTGCATCAGCCAGTCATCTCAGTCAGTCGACCCGCGGCACCTGCTGGGTCTGCCCCGTAACCTCCTGCCAGCGGGCGTTCGACACTTCACGTGGCCTCAAGGTGCACATGGCCTGGCACAAGCGTCGTGGTGACGTCACCGCCACTTAGTGGCGAATGGCGGTTGTTGTTGTTGTTGTGGAGCGGCGGCGCAGTGGTTAGCGCACCGTGTGACGAACCCGGTGACCCGAGTTTGGTTCTCGCCCACGGCCAACACCAGCGACAGCTCCCGGTCCCCCACTAGGTCGACTCAGATTTAAAAATGAATACCTTGGTATGGTGTGTAAAACATCAGCATTGGGGCATGGTACTGGCCACTCACTCGTGTGCCGTGCCGAACTTAATAGGTGCCCGCTAACAGTACTTGCGTGAACAGTCTATGTGGGACTACCCGGGGATCTAACGGCGATCGCCGGGTTCGGAGCGCAGCACGCTAACCGCTATGCCACCACTCCCCGCTCGCTCTCTCACACACTCCACAGAGCAGGGAGATAAGGGATACACTCCAAAGACAGACTGTTAGGGCAAGTGCTGTTATAGCGAGCCGCTATAAAGGCCGGCACGGCACACGAGGAGGTGGTGGTGGCCAGCACCATGCCTGGCCGTCTTTGTCTACCTAGGGGAGATGTTGAACACATCGCACCGGGTACTCATTTGAGACTGAGTCGACCTAGGGGACAAAGGTGGCCGGGCGTGGTGTTTTTTGCCACACCACTGAGTGCCGACCTTGATAGGTGCTCGTGAACAGCACTTGCCCCAACAGCCTATTGAAGGCTGTACGGGGGATCTGCGTGCTTGTGCAAATCCTATCAATGCCCCGTCAAGTTTCCGCACCAATCGGCGATGGTCGAGCGTAGTTCTTCACACAATGACCTCGGATAGGACCTGGAACTGTTCAGATAATCGTCCTTGGCATCGGCCGTGAGCGGGGAATCAAACTTAAGGGTTAACCGCGACGCTACCGCTCCCCGCGTTCAAAGCCCCTCGCGCGCCGTTGCGAGTGCTACCGCTGTGCCCAGCCTCGCGCCGGCGCGACCGCACGCAAATTAATTGGAATTCCAGCGCCGTCTCATCGGGCCGGTAGTAAAGCGAAGTCGATGGCGATGGGGCGAGATGCAGAGCGCGAGAGAGGGGCGAGGGAGGGCGGGTGTAACAGTGGCGAGACGTTTTCATTGGGAGTTGCGCGTGGCTCTGGAGCACCCGGCGGAGATAAATATTCCCGCTCTCGCGAGCTTGCCAGCGTGAGCGCGGCTGGCAGAGTAAATCAGCGAGGCTGCTTCCGCGATGTTTCCAGTATTTCACGACAAAATTGCTCGGGGGGCGGGGGGGGGCTCGAAATAAAATGCACGTTGGAAAAAGACTGCCCCGGCTACCTCCCCCCCCCTCTCCCTCTCCGAACCCACAACACAAACCCCTCCCCTACCCACCCCACGCCACCCCACCTTTCTCCACCATGCCGGGATATTAATAGTATTTTTTTTACTTTCCTTCCCAAGACCCCCCCCCCCCCCCCCTCTGCGCGTCGTTTAAACATTGAGGTGACGTAAAACGATCGTCGCCGCCGACGGCGGCCGGCGAGTGCGTCGCAGCCCCCCGCCCCCCCCTCCCCCCCCAACTCGTGTGCCGTGCTGTTGCCGGCCCTTAATAGGTGCTCACCAACAGAACTCGGGAAAACGTTCCCAACGGGCCACGCCGGTTTTAAGGCCGAGCGGACGGAAAGAAAAACCAAACGAACCACACGCGGCGTGCTCCGATTTCCACCGGCGCCACCCCCACCCCCCCGCCCCAACCCCCCCCCCCACCCCCCACCGCTTCCGCACTGGATGCCAAAGTTTTGTCGCGGAGGCCAAGGAGATGTTTTTTGTTTGTTAGCCGGGATAACGACACGCTTCAAAACTCTCTGCGAGAAGATGCGGCTTGCAGATATAAATAAGGGGGTAGGGGTGGTGGGGTGGTGTTGTTGGGGGGGGGGGGGGGTGTAGTGGTTAGTGCGCTGCACTACGAACCACGTGACCGAGTTCGATTCCCGCTAACGGTCAACACCAGTGACGATTATCTGAACCGTTCTTGGGCCTCCCCCACGTCGACTCGGATTTTAAAACGTATACCCTGGTATGGTGTGTGAAACATCACCGCTGGGGAGACAAAGGCAGCCGGGCATGGTGTTGGCCACCCCTTCTTGTGCTGCGCCGGCCTTCATAGGTTCTTGCTAATAGCACTTGCCCCAACAATCTGTTCAGGCTATACGGGGGATATTTGTCTTTGTTGGTGGGGGGGGGAGAGGGTCCCGGCCACCTCAGTAAGGACGTTTGCTGCCACTCCTTGCAGAGTCTGGCAGTTTGAATCCAGCGTAAACGCCCCGGTAAATACGGCAGGCGGTTCCACGGTCAAACACGCACCGTCTTTCCTCGCTGTGGAAGCTATGGCGATACGGCGGCGTCATTTATTTTATCTTGCCCTTATATCGTCATTTGCATTGCTTGTCGATGCAATGCACCGACCACCCCCCCCCCTGCCCTGACTGACAAAGAGCTTCGGAGCTTATCGGATTCCTCCTCCTCTTCCAGGATAACGAAAGATTCCGATTCGGATTCATTCGATGAGTGTGCTCCAACGTGCCAGCGTTTATAGAAAGCATCGCGCCGCAAATTGCTCAGTGGGGATTTACACGCACAGCTACACGCCTGGACTGTGCAATGCTGCACCGAACGATAACGCCTCCGTGGTGAGCCTCAGCGCCGTGAGGATGTCCCGAACGCCAAATTAACGTCGCTTCCATAACGAACCGTCAAATATTCAAAAACGGGCGACGCATAAAATTGTTCAATCGGCACCGCTCTGAGAGCCGGGTTGATTCGTGAGCTGCGCCGCGTTGCGCCGTCGAATCGCAAACCCGCGGACCGTTGGAAACGACCAGCGAAACGCGACTTCGCCGGACCACGAAATCGCAACGCCTCGAGCAAAGAAAATAAAAAAAAGCCAGCCTCCCCGATCGCTTCCGCTCGCTCGGCCCATCGCTGGAAGGGGGTTAATTTCGGTCGCACTGGCTGCGCGCATCTGGTAGCGGTGTGGGGGATGGGTTAATTGGTGCGTCAGCTTCTTTTAACCCCCGGCCCGACCTCACTGCGTACAAGAGACGGCTCCCAAACGCAGCCGGTGCAGGGATCTCCCCCCACCCACCAAACCCCCGTCGGCGTTTTTAAATCTGCGGGGGGGGGGGAGGGGGGCAAAGGAGGGGGTGGGGGGGCCGAGGGGGGGGGGGGCATAGGCGGACGACGACGACGGCGCTCCTACCTGCTGAACGATGGCCGTGAGCTCCAGGCACAGGCGGATGATGTCGTTCCTCCGGGTGGACGTGTCGCTCACGCCCGCAAAGGACGACCTGCAGCGAGAGCGAGCCAGCGTCACGGGGCGAGCCAGCAGCAGCGCTAGCTCCGGGGGGGTTCCACGGACTGGCTCACGGGCTCACGGGTTCATGGCTCATGGCTCACGAGCTCACGAGCTCACAGACTCATGGACTCACGATATATAAAATTTGATCATCAATTGCGATTTCGATCAGTACCGCAAGCAAATACAAGCATAATGAAGGTAAAAGCGCGGCGCTGAAATTGCCAGCTCGCGCCAATTCAGTCAGAAGGGGCCTTGCAATCGAATGGAGCTCGAAAGACCACATCCTGGATGGCGTTTTGGGTCTACTCTTCCGCGCTGACAAGACGGCTTGGCAGAGGTGGGAGTACCCCAGCGCACGCGAACCTGCCGATCGAACGGCTGTCGTGTACCCACTTATACCACCGGGTGGACACAGGTGGGGGGGGGGGGGGGGCATTTTACCTTTAGTATAGTTAGACTTGTAAACCACTTATTTAAGATTTAAGATTCCTAAATGTTGAATGTATGCACCTTCCGGCCAAAGTAAATTCCTTGTCTGTGAGAACTTTCTTGGCGAATAAAACCCTCTCTGATTCTGATTTAAGAAATTTGCACGATTATTCGAATGTCCATGCCGGGAGAGGGAAACAAACCGGCGACCTCTGGATTGCAAGTCCAGCGTGCTGACTCCGTTGCACCAGACTAAGGGAATGAGCAAATAAAAACCCACAGACTAATCCTCGACGCGAATTCCACCGGCTGTTTCTCAATTAGACTAGGATATGAACGACGTGTCCGGCTTTTCGCAGCCAAAATCGTGCTTCCCGACTGACTTTTGGGTCAGGCCATTCGACGATCTTGCCAAAAAAATTCTCACGGCCAATCAAATCACGCTACTTCGCTTTTAAAACCGCGCCAGGCGTCTCCGGGAAGTCGGTAGACTCTGTCGTAAATACACCAGGCCTCCGACCGCAATAAGCACCACGCGGCGTGGAAACGAACGCCGGTGCTGGACCACAGCGCAAACGTCTCAATAAACGACTAAAAGTTCCTCGTCGGTCAGAAGGCGGCGGTGGTGGTGGTGGTGGTGGTGCGGGGACCGTCGCGCGTACTTGTCCAGCCAGGCGAGGAAGGCCTTGGCGGCCCCGATGAGCTCCACCACCGCGGTGAGGACGTGGTTGGGCAGCTTGCCGGCTCCGCCGCCCGGCGACGCTATGCAGCCCGGGCCCCCCAGGCCCGTGGCCCCCCCTCCGCACAACCCGTCCGCTCCGTCCTCACGCCACCGGCCCCCCACGACAACGCCGCCGCCACCGCCGCCACCGGCTCCTGACCCCACGGGACCGCCGCCACCGCTGCCGCTGCAGCCGCCGCAGCCATCTCGCCCGCGTCCTGACACGAGGTTCTGCAGGTTCTTGGCGGAGGCCGTGAGTTTCTGCGACAGCGAGCGCAAGCTCTCAGTCTCCAGCCCGTAGTTCTGCGGAGAGGGTGAGAGACGGAGGGTGGGAGCGGCGATGAATATTAAAATCACACAGCCCCAAGCCCTGCATTTGCGATTTGCTCCCAAATTCGTTTCAAGTCACATCTGACCTCACTGCTCATGACTTAAAAACCATCGAACATCTCACAAGTGACTGGGCGAGCCACCCAAAAAGCAGCCACTCATCCGAGCAGCACCGATGAAGGCCGGCACAGCGCACGAGGGGGTGCTGGTGGCCAGCAGGACCACCACACCCGACCGTCTTTGTCTCCCCAGTGTTGATGTTTACAGACCGCAGCAGCTATTAGACTGAGGTTGCCGAGTCGACCTAGGGCAGGCCCAAGATGGGTTCAGATATTTCCCCGCAATTATCGGCCGTGAGCGGGAATTGAACTCACTTGGGTCGCCGGGTTCGTAACGACTACCCCGAGCAACACAACCCACAGCCGTTAACGAAACCGGCCTTGAATCCGCGTCGGGAGCAGTGCAAGGAACGGGGCTTCATTAAGGCGGGGGGCGGGGGGGCAACTTAGCAGACTGTTGTGGCAAGTGCTGTTAGTGAACACCTAGCCAGCACCACGCCTGGCTGCCTTTGTCTCCCTACAGTGGCCATGTTTATACACAACACCAGGTACTCATTTGAGGCAGAGTATACTTAGGGGAGGCCCAGGACCAGTTCAGCTACTGGTCTTGGCCGTGAGCGGCAATTGAACCCTGGCCGCGAGGTTTGCAGCACAGGAAAGTAACAGCTACACTATCGCCACCACCATTAGCAACCACTAACACTACCACCACCCCCTGCTTGCCTGCGTGTTGTCAGGGCGTGCCGAATTAGCGATAACCTCCCTGCCATCTCCTGCCCGCGATTTGTCACACCGGGTGATCCAAGCGCTGATTTTAAAAAATAAATAAAAAGCATGAATAATACATCAGTCCCCTGTTTGTCTCTCCAGATACAAAATTCTGCATTTTCTTTTCACAATCCACCAGCTTGCACAGCCAGCAGCGTTGGTCGGACACGAGCAAAAACCTCTGGGCCGCATTTGCCATTCAGTGTCTCAACGGCAGCAGTGTCAGGCTCATGCAAAATAATGGCGGTGAACTGCCCGACGATTTCAGGCAAGGGCCTTCTTTTTACACGAGGAATGGGTCCTGGTCGGACGGTCATCCTCCTCCTCGCAGCAGCAGCAGCAGCGGCTTTTAGCTCAGCCGTCAAACAAAGACGGCGGTCACCGCGTCGTGCTGCGCTTTCAGATTGAGCTTCTGCGGCCGTCTGGAACGCTCTTGCTGCCGATTTTCAGAAGCCACTAGAGCTATGCCACTGTTACATCCGGATTGAAAACTCATTTCTTTAGAACTGCTTTTTGTGTTCGTTTCTTGTCCTCACCCTACATCTCTGATTAGCACGGCTGGCTACGTACGGTGCGAAAGAAGTTCAACGTACATAAATTAATGCTTCCCCTGTCCTGTGTGAGTTTTTACGAGACTCCCTTTGCACGCTCCTCTGCCTCCACCCCAGCCCCCTACAGCATCCCCAAACCACCCCCCCCCCCCCCCAGGCGTGGGGGGGGGGGTGTCATTGAAGTGACAGTGATCGCGATGGCACGACAAGTAGGCTCCTGTAAAAAGCCCTCAAGAGACATTCGGCCGGCTCTCTCCTGCGGACGACAAACAAAGGGAAGTGGCGGTTCTTGCCACGAGTCAAGGCAGACGTCTCCTCCTCCTCCTATTCCCCAGTGTCTTGGTGAAACGCCGGACAGGGCCCCGGGCATTAATGGCCCAGGCACCCACTTCGCGCCCGCCCGCACGCCCGCACACCACAACAAGAACAACAACAAAGATCACCTCCGGTGAGACCGTGTGTTGGAGCGAGTGTCGGTGGCAGGATGCCGTTTGAGGGTGGAATTGATACGCGAGTGGAAGCTGCGGTCAAGCCGCCTTTGTCTAGCCAGTAAACTAAAAAGCGAAACTGTTTATTTTTTATTTTACCAGGTAAGGCACCCCGAGCTGGATAGCTATCACATGAAAATGTATGGCTGCAAAATACTCTGAGAACGCGTGATGCTGATTCTAATGTGCAAGGAAAAGCTGGAGAACCCGGAGAAAAATCCATGTGACCATGGGGAGAGAGAACACGAAATCAAGGCGTCAGGGTCGGGATCGAAGCTACGACCTCCTGTATACCAGGCAAGGTAGTTAACACCACAGCGCCCAGTATTTCGAGGTAAGAAATAATGATAGAATAATAACACATAGATAGTTATTTGCGAGCCCACTGCTGGATGAAGGCCTCCCAGAGTTGAGTGGACCTTGGCAAGGTCCGGGGAAGGCCCAGGGCAGGTTCAACAATCTTGGGCATGGCCTGGGGATCAATACCCAGGCCATCGGGATCGTTGTACCTGACGCGGCAACCACTTCGCCGACATTCACACACAAAAGACAAAGATGATCCCCCTCTGTATCGTAGCCTTATAGACTATGTTGGGGTAAGTGCTGTTAGTGAGCACCTATTAAACCTGGCATGCGCACAAGGGGTGGCTTGGCCAGAACCACACCCACAGGGCACAGCAGGTACCCACTTATGGCTGAGTCGATCTACGGGAAGACCATAGTACGTTTAGACACGGCTCGGCACGACTGTTAGGCGTGGCTGCGTATCGAACACAGGTGCTCCACGGTTCACGGCGCAGGTTGGCACCGCTCACCGCACACACAAAACCACACACACAGATGCGCGCGCACACACACACGCACGCACGCTGGTACACACACACACGCTGGCACGTGCACAGTATCACATCCACAGCCAAAGCCACAATTACGCAATGAGTTCCCATTAACACGAAGGAGAAGCTACTTATTTGAAATACAAAAAAATAACCCACTCTTTATTCCCGTAAGTTTAGTAAATGATACAACTGCAGCGTGTCTAAATCAGCTCAAGCCTCCCGTAAATCACGTGGCTCTTGCGTGGCCACCCCCATTCTGACCGCCCCCCCCTCTCTCTCTCCCCACTGCCGCCCACTGTGAAAACAGACGCTGCTCCGTGCAGTAGCAGCAGCAGCGGCGGCGTCTTCTTCCTCCCTCTCCTCGCCTCTCCTCGCCCTTCTGCTCCCGTTCCTCCACTCATTCTCCATCCCTTTCCTCTCATTCCCCATTCCTTCCCCCTCCGCTCTCCCGTCCCTCTCTCTCTCTCTGTCCCCGCGCGGTACATCCGTGACTCTGCGCAGGCGCTTGGCCGGTTCGGCGCGTCGGGGAATCGCGATCGAATGCTTGCGGAGGCAGTCCATCCGGCAGCGGAGAGATCGCGGCCGCCGATGGCGACGAGGGCGAGGACAGCGACTTGGGAGGCACGGCCGGGTGGGCACGGCTCAGCCGTTAAGTCACACAAGGACAAAAAAAATGTAAACCACTACACGTTAAAACCTCCTCCTCCCCCTTTCTCCCTACAGCCGCTCGTTCCATCGCTCCCTCGCCCACCCGCTCGCTCGCTCGGTCTCCCGAGCAGACAGTGACAAATTCCCGTCATTACGGCCACCGCCAGCAGAAGCTAATCAAACCTGGGAGCCTTAATCAAACCTCGTTTTCCCTGCCACGACATGAAAACACACACAGTCATCATCCGCGCCGCGCTCCCGCGACTCCAGCCCGGGGAGGGGAAGCCGGCGGTTCTGACAGCCGCTCGGGAAAAACCGCCGCTCCCTTGGATTGCGAGTGTTAAATCGTCGTGGTTCAAGCGAGCCTGACTCTGCTGATGAGACCACTGCGTGTCAAAACCCGTCCAGAGTTTGCTTGCGTTGAACCACTGTGACTCAAGCGAGCCTGATTCTGCTGATGAGACATGGGACATCGAAACCCGTCCAGTTTCCTTGCGTTGAGCCATTTGGTGTTGGCCATTCACCCTCTCGTGTCCAGTGCCGACCGCCACAGATGCTCACTAACAGCGCTTGCCTCAACAGTCTGTTCAGGCAGGACAGTGGGTGATCTTTGTCTTTGTGTGTGCGTTTAAAGGCGGTCGGGCGTTGTGCTGGCCTTCATAGGTGCTCGCTTACAGCCCTTGCCCCCCAAAGTCTATTAATGCAACTAATAATAGGGGGGGGGGGTGGATGGGGGGGAGGGGTCTTTGTCGTATGTGTGTGTGGAAAGAGATGGCGCTTCAGATATCGGTTTTAACATTTACCGCCTATGGCTGACTTGCAATGCGGAGGCAGCCTGTTTGCACCGATTTCCGGCCTTCCAGCATTGCAAATGTGCGCATCGCCAGTTACTAGCTCGTCAATTGGCAGGTCAACGCGTGGTGGGGCAAAAGTGTGGGCGCTCACGACTCTTCCAAAATATGCTGGCCACCCGTGGTAACAAGAGCTTCATAACTCATCGGATTTCCCCAGCATAAATGAATATTCCGATTCTGTAAATCCAGCCGGCATGGAAGAGTAGGCCAAATCCCACCGTGAGTTGCTCTCTTAAGAGCTCCCTCGAGTGGAGGGCCCTTCCGGCAGCGGTTGGCTTAGGCGGGCACGTTCCAGGGCTGAACCTTGACTTTTTTAAACGTACTATTTAAATATGGCAGTTTCCCGCAAGAAAGGGGTTCTGGTTTAAGCAGATCACGGCCAATTTGGGGATCATTATGTATTTTTATTATCATCGTTTAATGAGACCACCTGCTTCGCGCGTCATCGTGAAAACCAAGCGCCCATTCATTCATTTAACTTCACACGGCACCCGCTAAACCGCCCCCATCCAGTCTCGACACGAACGCATCGAGCGGCGTGCACAAATATTATATTTGCGATGTTACGCATGGAGCGATGGGTACAGTACTCGTGAGTCGATTTGAGATTAAACGGAGTATTACTTAGTGCTGCTGCTGCTTGCTGCGTTGGGCTCTACCGTTTGTCAACTTTTATAAATCCCAATTTTGATCACCGCTCTGCCCTTACGCTAGTCCTACACACGGGGGACACGTGCAGGTTCAATGACATCATCCAAACTATGAG